TGATTGTTAATGTAATCTTTAGATGTTAATTATGTTTAATTGTTTATATTTATCATGATTATAATTTTCTTTTGTATTTAGTGCTGTAGGATATACTTATTCTTTGAGTATAAATGTAGTGATACAGAGATATATAGAGATTTATATATAATGTTATCTAAAAACTTAAAAAATTAAATTAAAACAACTAAAATTGATTGAAGGCCATAGTTTACTGAATGAAATACCTTGTCTTCTTTAATTTTTAATATAAATTCAATTTTTGACGATAAAAAAAAGATGTGATGTGATTGAATAAAAAAATTTTGGTCTTTAATTTCTCTCTAAAATGCAAAAATCAAATTGGCTGCACTTTCCCATAAAAAAAAAAAATTCTCTGCAATGGACCTAAGTAGAAAATCAAATGGATTGGCATCTGGGAATACAACTCTTTTTTCCTTTTCTAAAGAATAAAACAATTATACCCAAAAGAAAAGTACAGAATCTCATATAGCCAGAGCCCAGATGATCTCCAGCTAAAAGCAGAAATGGGACATGATCACCTGAATTTAACCAGATCCTTACCAAACTTGAAATTTGAAAAGAAACCCTAATAAGCTATGGTTTTTTGCCCCTTTTTGCAGGCACAAGACGCCCATTTTTAAAGATTTTGTGTTTCCCCAATTTCTGGTATAAACATACAGTATGGAAATATGACCCAATCAGTGTAAACAAAAATGATAAAATCAAACAATCTTCATCCAACCAAACCCTAAATGGAGATCTGCCCAAAGAAACCCTAAAAAGAGACAGAAATTACATCTCCATATCTTTGGAGAAAGATCTAAGAATCCCCACAAACCGAACATCAAAAGTCAAAAACCAAAAAAATCCCCACAAACCCTACAGAAAGAACATTTCTTCAATTTTCATCCACCCAATTCCTGAGAAATAAACCATAGAAGAGAGAGAAAGTAAGAACCTTGGAGTTTTATATCACCTCTGTCTGATAATCTTGTTCCATACATGTATCTGTCCTAGCTACGCCAACCATAGGACAAAGAAAAATGGGTTTGTAGATGAGAGAGGTTGGACAAATTGTAGTTGTAGTGGAAGAACATGGCCGTTGGGGGGGCTGGGAATGATGGAGCCATGGAAGTAGTGCATCCCCCCTTTTTGCGGAGAAAATAGAAAGCAATAAAGAAAAGAAACGACTCTTTTTGAGTCTTTTCCTCTAGGGTGTGTGTGTGTGACCTAAGGTATTATTAAAGAAAATATCAGTGAGCCATCAATAAGTAAGGGATCAGCTGCAGCTACCTTTTGAGATGTGTTTGGCTTGAGGTTGAGCTACGCCTAAGTTGGAAACAACTAACACCTCCAAAGAAACGACTCTTTTTGAGTCTTTTCTTATATGGTGTGTGTCACCTACGGTAAAGAAAAAATAATTGTCCTATGGGAGTAATTTTTTCCACATGAACCTAATCCGGAACTGTCCTCCCCAGTCCTTGCCCCTAGCTTCTGCCACTTCTGGTGATCCTTTTTTAATTAGAGACTCTTTAGGACCTACAACTCCTTACCCGGGGAAATTTCTTGAATCTCTTGTGAAACCGGTTTGGATTTTGTTTGAAATTGTTGTGGTGTTGTCATTGCACTTTGAGATTTGTTGTGTTGTGACTGCAATGTGATGTTCTATTATTAAATGATATTTTAATGTTTTAAGTAATTATTTGTTATTTAGTAAATCATAATGAAATTAATAGTAGTTATCTTTCAAAATTGAAGTAGTAGTAGTGGTATTGGTGTTTTAGTTAAAAGTTTTAGCATATTTAATTGAACATCAAAAGTTTACAACTTTCTAAGAGGGCAATTCTTGAAAATTTCATCAAACACCAAATACACTGCATAAAAGTGCTGAAAAAACAATGTCAAACAACGGAAGTACTTTAATTAAGGTTTTTCTCTTCATTCAGGGGATTGCTTGAGTTGTTTAGTAATTTTGCCGATTAAAAAAAAAATATGTAGTGATTGACGAGGGGAAGTAAATTTGGTAGAACGCAGTAGAATGCTAATTAAAAGGGAACTTCTCTTCGCAATATTTATATTCCAAATGATCAAATCATTGAAGATTACCTACTCCAATATTCAAATTTGCATGGGATTTATAGGCTTAAAAAACCATAAATCATAACACAAGTTTCAAGAGAACGTGGATGAAAACAATGACATTAAAATATTAAAAAGAATTGAATTATAGCTTAGGTTTAACATTCTAATTTTGGTAACAACATTTAAAAAAAGTTATTTTTTAATATATCTTTTAAATATAAAAATATGTTCTTAAAATTATTTAAAGTATGATTTGTTTTAAAATATATAAAAATTAATTTAAAAATATCATAATCATAAATACACAAATAATAATAATAATAAAAGACATTGAATTATTAGATTCAAGAAGTCACTTTAACCGAACATCAAAAGAAAAGAAGTCACTTTAATCAAGAAGGTGAAATGACCTTTTGTTTAGAAATACATTAAATGTGGAGAATCTTTTGTCTTTTTTATTTTTTATTTTTTTGGTTTTTGGGTTAGCTAAGATGGAGAAAATGCTAGGACTTTAGGAGCGGTCCAGACAAGATACTGCCAATGGATTATTGCTAGAGCAGGGGCTGCTTCTTCTCTTCTTTTTTTTTTTTTTCTTTTTTTCAATTTTTTTCAGGAATCCGCAGAAATGCTTAAAAAGCATGAGATGATTCAGGAAGAATTACTATAAACTGAGTTTAACCCTGTTGTTGGACTGGATATTGTGTTAGTAAATTATGTATGGTAAGGGTTAATGCATCTCTTATACTTTGATTTAACAAAATGAGTTATGAAAACATATCCAGTCTTTTTGTAACTCAACCCTCATTGTTTCTGTTAAATCTTTTTCATGAGGTATTTTATTACTCCTATAATTATTTTTTCTTGTCTTTTGTTATCAAGGATGCAAAAAATTAAGATATCTTAGTATTTAAAGTATTAGAATATTCAATCAAAAAAATATGATGAATAAAATATAATGTAGATCCCGCTTAAATTATAGTTAAAATTAAACGTCCTACATTTTTAATATAAAAACATTCTAATTTTAACTTTTCTATTTATTATTATTATTATTATTTTGAACTGCCAAAGTGTCATCACTACATTAATCTTGGGACCTATATTGAAAGAAATTTAAATATTAGGATTGAATATTTATTTGGAGAAATGGATTTTATGGGCCCATTATAGTCATGGGCCAACTGAAGATCTAACACCCACACATGCTTCCCTGGGCCCTTACCCCGATTCGAGAAATGCGAAACTGTAAGGGACGCTGTACTCACTGCACTCTGCAGTTTTTCTATGATATAAATTAGGAAAAAAATAAAAAAATTCTTTTTTTTTTTTATATATCCACCAGTTCTTGTGCTTTTGATAATTGGCTATCTATCATAAGATACTCACTAATCTCAAATTTTAAATTAAAAAACTTTAATATAAAGATTTAAACTTTGTTCTGATGTCTAAGAATGTCCCTTAAAAAAAACATACAAAATTCATATTTGCCAGTCAATAAAAGGGTTCACTCTGTAACTTAGTAACTACTTTAATTGTTTAGACATGCCAAAAGATCTTAGTAACTAATTTAATTGTTTAGACATATCTAAAGATAGTAATTCTTATGAAGTCTCTACTCTTAATGTAGATTAATTATCAGGTTTTGACCAAATCAAAACCAAGGAGGTAAAGTTAATATAGTGCAAAAAGGCCAATAGTACCATCTTACTGCTAAACCAAAGAATTCATAATGATCAATTCTTGTCATGTCGTGCTGCTAAGAGTTGCAGAAACAAATTAATTTGCTAATTGTTTCCCCAGTAAAGCTAAGATGAGGAAATAATTAAAGAGCAAGAAATTAAAGTAGAAGATGCAGTTTTACAGTGAAGTGAAGAAAAAGGGTTTAGATATATAACATATGACCGTACCTTTGAGCTGAGGATGGAGTTTTAGCTGTCACTGCTTGGAAGATGGTGATGCAGGAAATGGAGTTTTAGGTGGGCAAGGGATGGCTGGAAGGTGGTGTGTACATGTACGCTACGCTTGGCTCCTTTATCTTGGGAAAAAGAGGGGGGTGGGAACTGGGGAACCCCATAATACTAAGGAAAAATCCTACAAGAACGAACGTACAATCTAAACTTAAAAGCCTTGAAAGGTTGTTTCCTCTGCATTCTGCGGCTATCTATTCTCTTTTGTCCTACTACATCTGCCTAGGCCGACGCACACCCTGACCTAGCATCACGTCAGGTTGTTCTTTTTTTTTTTTTTGTTATTATTTAAATAAAAAAAATTGAGTTTACTTTTTCCTGATGTTGATTTTTAAAAATAAAAATAAAATTAAAATTAAAATATTTTCACACTTTAAATATTAAAATTTTTTATGAAATTATTTAAATATTTTTTATGGAATTATTTAAATATTTTTAATAAATTTATTTAAATTAATGAAAATGTCATAATTATTATTTTTAAATATTTTAATTATTAAAATATCTTAATTTTTTTTGTTATTTTACTCTAAATTTTATAATAATTTATTATTATATTTTTATATAATAAATAAATGATAATTAAATGAAATTAATCACCAAAATTACATTTAAAAATAAAAAAAATTAATTGTTATTTACCTTATCACATAAAAATATCAAATTAACCTATATATACAAATCAAATTAGAACAAGTTAAAAGGGACAAAAAAAAAAAAAAGATAAGGTGTATAATTGTGACAATATTGTATTGTTACCAAGGTAGCATGACATATAAAGGAAATTCAGAAACAAGCCAGGCACAATGACTGGTAGGGGTAAAGGTACATAAAGAATTTCTTTGAACTTCAAAATATTTTGCTAGAGTTTATGGGTACAGTAACTTTGGTACACTCTCTGGCACTGGCAGCTCCAGTGGGGCTGGCAAATGTGCACCAAAACCTTGGCCATGACATTGACCACGGTTCAAGCTACCGCGGGGACAAGATTGTAACAATCTCCCCCTTCCTTCAAAATTCCCCCAATGTTTAAAAAAAATAAATAAATAAATAAATCAACGTTATCTTGAGTATAGTGTAGATGCATTAGGCTTTGACTTGCAAGGCCCCCTATAATTTACCTTAGATTCTAGTATACTACTTGCCATGGTCCCCTACCAGCTACAGCAAAGCTTCAGATTCGGCTTTTTGAATTGAGGGCAGCAAAAATCCATAGCCTGTCTGAACCAGATATTCAAGAATCCAATGGTAAGCTGAGTCTCTGCATTTCTGCATCAATTCAAGCTAAAGGGGAAGAGATCATTTCAAGCACAGTTCAAAAAAAGTTGAAGAGATCAAAATCACTGTTAACTATAATGCCAGATTCAACTAATGTCCAATGACTTTCATTGATAGTTGTGCAAAAAGCTAGAAACATGGCTCTTTTTGACCGTGCATTGCCTCCTCCTTCACCCTTTCTTCTGTAGAGGAATGAAAGGATCTCCGGGATGGCAGCAGAATCCAAACTACTCTGCTACATATTGGGTATAGTCTAGTCCTTAAGTACCCACTAGAGTTCCAACAACTGCTCTAGGTAACTTCAAACTAACTTCTGCATCATCTATCATTACAGACAAAATGCAAAGATGAAAAGGAAGTGAGAGGGAGCACCAAATCTTGAATATGTAAATGACATAGGAACATCCCTAAACGCATAATCTATATTACAGCAACCATTCAAACTAACATTGTGATAGGAGCTGAAGAGCTGAACATCTCTAATCTAAACACTACTTCTAAAAGGAACCTTCAGATTTTTATTTTAACTGGGTAGCAGTACATGACCTTCAGCCTCAGTTCCCAAGATATCCGATAAATAGAAGTTGTTTATATTATGTCATATATTTCAAAATTAAAAGTTACAACTAGATAAACACTTTTGGCTTCTTTTTGCTTTGACACGAATTTTAGTTATCCCATTCAATGTCCCTAGTTGGAAGTAGAATGCACATGTGCTAGCAATCAAGCAAAGAGGTCACATTGGTCATGCAAGGTTGTCATTTCAGAAGAGCCTATAGTAAGAATGATTTTTGGGTATGACAAGGAAAAAACTAGATTAGCTTTGTGATGGGAAAAATTTTAAAAATAAAGGGGAATTGGTAAGCCCTGAATATATAGAAAACTAAAAAGACCTGATAATCATTTCCAGGAAAGAAAGCAGAGGCAGATTAAGCTATGGAGTTTCTAAAAGCAAACTAAAAAGATGAATACACTGCAATTTAGAGAAAAATTATGCTTGAAATAATTAGCTATTTGAGCTCATAACTTGGTCATCTTTTTGTCTTATAAACCAGCATCAATATTTAGACATTATTCTATCATTAGAGAAAACGGTATTATATCATACTTTGATTTAGACTCCCATTGTATTGGCCTATTATATCACTCTAACATGCAACTTCATCTTAAAACAACCTTCTCGTGTAAACATTACAAAAGAATCCAAATACAAAGTAACTCATCAATCATCAACAATACAAATACAACAATGAACAAACCAAATTAAAAACCTTCTCATCAAACAAAACTTGAGAACTGAGGATGCTCATAGAAGCACCCAAATTTGATAAAGATATCACCATCTCAAGACCAAAAAGACTTGCTTGAATGATCCAAATGTCCAAATGGAAATTTGCATCAAGATACTGCTCATACTCCCCGTCCCTATGGAAAACAATGTAGAACCAGAAACAATGTCAAAGGTAATAATTGAATACAAAATCAGTCTCATAAAATTATAGCAGACATTTCAAAGAAAAGAAAGCCATTTTCACCATGATTGCAACATCAGTGCAGTATAGATAAACCCCACATTATAATGTAGTTCTAACAAATAAACACAAGTGCGAAGATATTAGACCATTATGCTGATCTGATACAATTTCAACTGGCCCAATTGCCAAAGTATTCATTGAGCAGTAACAGATTTGCAAGGGTATCATCCTTGCTCAGATCGGGCCAAAAAACAATCAAGATAAAGCTACATTTTTCCAAGTTTTTGTATGCTGCCACAACTTTCCTTATTGAACCTGTTTCACTTGGTGAAGGTTATATTGTCACTAACTGCAAAGAGAGATGTTGAAGTAATTTGACCAACAATCAGCTGTTGCAGAGTTTAGCAGCCCAATCTACAAAAAAAAAAAAAAAACACTGTTTTATCCTTCCATGAACTTATTGCTTCTATTTGCATCTTGTTGCAACAATTGATGAGCAGATTAGGCAACAGCTCTCCCAAGGCCGGATACATAAGCAGCACCGGCGACATCGGCAGCAGAACTTGAGATGAAACCTCGCTTTAGTGCTTCTCGCTTCCAGCAATTTGATTCGGCGGATAGTATTCCATCTGAGTAGGCTCTCCGTCCACCAGCACACTCTCGATCACGAAATTCTATGCTTGTGATCCAACAATCACGATATCTGGAACCGCAACTTCCTGTTCCGTGTAACTGAAGCAAACGGGGGGCAAAAAAATGGCGAAATCAATAAACCCTAACCATTGCCCGTGCAAATACACAAAAATTCGGCGCATTGAAGAAAAAGTGAGCAAATAGCCTGTAGGTGCGGCGCAAGTCCATGTCGATGGAGAGGCAGAGCTTCTGGTCGCGCATGACGGCGCCGGAATTGATCGGTATATGGTCGTCGGACTTCGGGTTGCCACGGTTGGCCTTTGCTATGATGTCCGCCCTGCCCGGATCCACGGATATTTGTACACGTGGCAAATTATACATGGGGGTCCATGGTTGATGTGCCGTTCTTTTTCTGTTCCTTCGATCCGGACCGTTCGAGTTCTGAGGAGAGTATCTGACGGTCTATGGGACCCCGTTACTTGGGTTGCTCTCTTGGGCTGCTAGTTATAGAAATTCTGAGCCTAAGATGTTGTCGGGCTGAAAACTAAAGCCCAATTCCATCACTGGAGTAAATGCTTGGACCGACCGAATGACCTGTACTGGGGTTAGTTAGATGGTTTAGCGAGAATTAATAAAACAACTGAGTTTGGATGGTCCATAGAGGTTACTAGATCGGGCCAGTTTAAGCCCAGTTTTGTTCAAGTCCATCAATCATGATTTTTCTTTGCCATTATTCATGAATCAAGATTGAAAAAAAAAAAGGGCATTCTTACTTTCTTAGTGCTTTCCTTTTTTTTTTTCTTTTTTTTTTTCCCTTAACATGAAGTATGCTTAGTTATTGTAATAATTAACTATCCAAGGGTTGCTAGCTTGATTGAGAATTAAGTTTGCTTCCATTCTTCTTTACTAGGGTTCAATTTCTTAAGTAGGGCAATGACAGTAATTTTTTACAAATTTTTTTGATTTCATGTGGAAGACCTACCACCAGGAATTGTAGGTGCCTAGGGTTTTCCTCCGGTTTTCTAGGTTAATGTTTCAATGGGGTTTAGGTGTTGCTTTATGTGGCTTTTATCATTTTTGGTGAAGGTCGGTTTATATGTCATTTTATGCGGTTTGCATTTCTCCTAATGAAAATTGATATAGCACTTTGTACAGCTTACCTTTCTTTTGGTGAGGGTTGGTAAATCCCCTTGTGGGGTTAATTTCTCTTGATTTTCAATGAGGTTTACAGGTAAGACCATTGTTGTCTTCCATGGTGTTAGATCTCATGAAATGGTTGAGAAGGTAGAAGACTATAGTTGGATCAAGAAGTATTGGACATGAGGGCTACACATCCTGTGTGTTAAATAAAGGATCAAAGACAATGCTCCATCTTGGATATAGTCTCAATCCATTTTTATAGTCATGGTTATTTAGGTAGAAGATTACTATGTACTTATGTAAAAATTATTTATTTGATCAACGAATCATTCATATGTCTATAACTTAAATGGGGTAAAAATTAAACTTTATTGATTCTCATTCACTAAATTAAATAGTTAATTTAGGATCAAAATCATAATTAGCACAAAGAAGATTGCAACCAACCAAGATCTTATCATCCAAATTAGTGCATAAAACCACTTGTGACTTTGGTGGTTGTGTTTCTAGTTTAAATTAAAGGAGGTGAATGGGTTGCTTGACTTTTGATCACATAAGTTGTTGATTGCTCCCCCAACAACTTTTTTGACATTTTCTTTTCTTCAACTTTCAAACGATTACAAAAAAGAATGCCTTCAAAATTGGATGGTCAACATCAACCAATGAATTTATGAAGGTTAAGTTATGCCCTTTTATTCATGGTCTCCCGACAATAACCTCTCATTTTGCAAAGTCCTTTCTCTGTTTTCAAAGCTAAGAATAGAGAGAGATGGTATTAGTTCAACCTGCCTTGGGAGTTAGTTTAGGCACACACAACTGTAATGGATCTTTGTCTTTATGGGTCATCTCCGACTGTGGAGCCAGCCATGGGGTCCAAGTGCAAGGTCAAGGCCCCTATTTCGTGGGTGCATTTTAATCTTCAATTAGGACTAGTAAATTTTATTTTAAGCTATCCCAATCTCTATATGATTAATTAATATAATTTTTTTAGTACACTATGATTAATTTTATAAATTTAATACACGTGAATGTGTAACAAAGTAATGCTAGCGATGCCAAATTGAGATTCATCTCAATTCTTTCAGTAAGTAGGACTATAAAAAAAGGGGGGGATGGATGGTTAAAAGTCAAGGCAATATATTGGACATACCACGTGGCCAAAAAAAATACATTGGTGTGGCACGAGGATTTGACCTTATATGTTCAAGAATTCCAATTACAGCTAGCAACTCCATTTACATGTTCTAAAACCTATATTTCATAACCCCTAATGGTTAGATTTATTGGTAAATATGTGTCAATTTATGGGTCAAATTTAAGATTCAATCTTGGACTAACACCAAATAATAATAATAATAATAATAATTTTCTTAAATGCATCCAGTTAACCTAGAGGGTGTAATTTTAAAATCGTTCAAAAAAAAAAAATAATCTTAAAATGTTCAAAAATTGACATTAAAGCACCTTAACCATAAATACAAAAATGTGAATCTTATACTTCGTTCCCTTTGCTTCTAAGTTCCACTCTTATGAATGTGTATCCAACAAATTATTGCTCTAAGCCTGTAAACCAATTTAAAAAAAATAACTCAAGAAATATTATATACATACATATATATATATATATATATATGTAAATGAATTAATGGGAAGAGTAAAAGGAAAGGAAGTGTCTCCTCCCATGCAACTCGGCATGTAAGAACAAATTTTTTAGGTGCAAAAAGTAGAGTAATTTCTTAAATTAAGGTCAACTCACCGGCATTTGCCATCCAATACTACAAGACCATTAATTAATTTGCATTTGCAAGAAAAATTGAGAGGTTTTGTGTTTTCTAAGCTAAAGCCAGAGTACTGGTACTTTGTAATGTTATGTCCCTCAAACATGCATCTGTGAGACGACTGCCGCTTCGCGTAATTGTGTCAATCCCTCAACAATTTAACTTCATATATAATATGATTATTTGTGCATTAAGTTAATTGAGCTTAAAGTTTTGACTTTTCCCGATAAATGCCCATTTTTATGTTAAAATAATGGTCTAATTCCCCGATTGTTAATCTTCATTATGAATAATACCTTCAAGTTAATTTCACAGCCAATGCAATTTGTACTATCCATGGTCACTTCATTATTATCAGTGTTTACTCTATATCAAACAGCCTAATTACTAATTAATTTTTTTATAGGACAGAACAAATAATTCAACCTGTAAGAAAAAAAAAAGGTAAGAGGGAGAGTTACACATGTTTAAATTCTCGAATGGGAGAAAAACTTTTTACATTTAAAGATTTGATTAATGAACCTAAAAATTTTCATTAATTATTAATCAATTTAATAACTTAAAAAGAGTGAAAAACAAAAGTTTTGATATTTAAAATGTTAATATTGTTTATAAAATTATTCAAACACATATCCTTAATGAATCCTTCTTACATCTTAATTTATAAAAAAAGTAAGTAAATATTTTCATTATTATTCTAAGCATTTTAATTATCAAAATGTCCTCATATTTGGCAATTCCCTTTCTTTCTTTCTTTC